AATGTCTATCCTTCTTTTTGCTGTCATTTTGCATTTTGATTCAATCATCCAAGGAAAATTCGGAAATATCCAGGAAAGGGTTTTTTTTTTCGCATCTGGGTATTTTGGGGAAACTTGATGCATGCTTGAATCATAATGTTGTTTTCGGCGTGGGGCGGTGGGAGAACAAGAAAATTAGGGTTCATAATTGTTCATGATAGATTGCTTTCAAGATTAAAAGGCCCAGAAGGGAAACAGGGCAAATGGGGTTTTTGAAAAAAAGAAAAATTAGTACAGGACACTTGTGGCTTGAATGAATAAGAGCCATAGATACGGTGGCTCCAAGTTTAGTTCTTAATCACATTGATTAATTAATATTATTAGTGACCGATAGTCTTCTATTATTTGTCATGTGTTTTTCAATTTTACATTTATATGGATTATGCTGACTATTAATTTTGATCTTTCAATTGCAGTTTTTCTTCCTGGTTGTCTTACTGTTACATTGATGGCAGAGATACAATCTAACAATTTAAGAGTACGTATCTACACTTTAGATTTATTTACTTAAAGTATATAAGAAATAAATTAATTATCATTAAACTTGTATGTTGGTTGATGTTTATGGTATGCTTATTGCAGAACCAAGGTGTCGATGAGCATCCAGAAATTGTGGAAGTTGAATCAGTAGTTGATTCCAGACAAGTAGAGAAAGGGGGTGCTGTTAAAGGGAAAAGAAAGAAAATTAACAAAAGATCTGAAGTATGGAATCATTTTACTGAAATTGTTGATAAGGATGGGAAAGATAAGGCTAAATGTAAGCATTGCAATAGGTGTTTTTCTTCTAATAGTATAATTAATGGGACCTCCACAATGAAAAATCATTTATTGACTTGTAGTCACTATGGTGGGTCTAAAAAAAATCAAACAATGCTTACTTATTTTGGTGGTGATGTTGAGAATGGTGGTCAGATTTTAGGCACCTGGAAGTTTAATCATGAGTCTGCGAGGAGGTCTTTAGCTGAAATGATTATAGTTGATGAAATTCCATTTAGTTTTGTTGAAAAGAAAGGGTTTAGGAAGTTTTGTCAACTTGCATTGCCTCCTAATTTTATTGCCCTATCTAGGAGAACAATAACCAGAGATTGTTATAGTATTTATATGGATGAAAGGTTGAAGCTTAAATCATTTTTCAAAGAATCTAGGCAAAGGGTTTCACTTACCACTGATACATGGACTTCAATTCAAAGAGTTTTTTACATGTGTCTAACTGCACATTATATTGATGAAAATTGGAAGTTGCACAAAAAAATCTTAAACTTTTGTCCTGTTGAGAGTCATAAGGGGGAAGAGTTAGGTGACCTTTTAGAGAGGTGTTTGAAAGATTGGGGTATTGAAGAGGTATATGCATTAACTATAGATAATGCCTCATCAAATGGTGGAGTTGTTAGGGTTCTTAGGAATGCCCTCACCAAGTGGGGAACAACAGTCTTAGGTGCACAAGATTTGCATATGAGGTGTGCAGCTCATATCATCAATCTTGTAGTTGGTGATGGAGTAAATGAGGAAGAAATGCACAAGAGTGTAACTGCTGTTAGAGCTGCTGTGAAATATATAAGACAGAGCCCATTAAGATTAAAAAGATTTAAAGCTGTTGTTGAGTTTGAAGATATTGAAACAAAAAAAGGGCTTTGCTTGGATGTTCCCACAAGGTGGAATTCCTTGTATTTGATGCTGGACACTATAGAAAAATATGAGATGGCATTTGAGAGGTATAATTTCTTGTCTTAAGTTTTGTTTTTGGTTCTTTTAGTTTGGTTGAGTTTATTTATATTTTTGTTTAAGAATTGTGAATAGTTTGCTTTGTTTTTTGAAGATATGCTAGAAGTGACAAAGATATGAAAACTGAACTGAATTATGGGAAAAATGCACCTGGTTTTCCATCATGCATTGACTGGGAAAATGTGAGAAGGGTGATTCGGTTCTTGGAGCACTTCTACTACTTAACTGAGAAGGTTTCTGGTAGTTTATATACTACCAGCAACCTTCTCTTTCCAGAAATTAGTGAGGTTTGTTTCTTAAACTTACAAATGCCTTGATATATTTTAAATTTGATTTAAAAATTTGATTTAAAATTAATTATATGTTAATAAATATGTGTTTGCTGGTATATTATGTCATTGATTGATTTTTATTTCTAATTGAATTTCAAGGTTGATTGTTTGTTAAAATCTTGGGAGAAAGATGTGGATGTAAAAGACATGGCACAATCAATGAGGGAAAAGTTTCACAAGTATTGGGGTACTCCTACAGAAATGAACAAAAATATTTTCCATGCTGTAGTCCTTGATCCTAGGAACAAATTAGGATTTCTTGAATTTTTATTGATAAAAGTGTATGGGAAAGAACAAGGAATGCAACATGGTAGAATGGTTTGTTGTGAATTGAAGAGGTTGTTTGTTGAATATAAGAAAACAGTTTCTGGTGGTGGGCAAACTATAGTTCTGGAGGGTAGTACTAGTGCTAGTAATGCCCCTAGTGAGAGTGACCCCAAGTATAAGAGTAGGCAACAACTTAAGTCTGCTTACAAGAGGTTCAAAATTGAGAATGGGTTCATGTCGGAGAAAACTGAGCTAGATAAGTATTTGGGAGAGGATGTTGAGGATGATAATGATGATTTTGACTTACTTGGATGGTGGAAGTTGAATGCTCCAAGGTTCCTTGTCTTGGTAGCAATGGCCAGAGATGTTCTGGCTTTTTCGATTTCAACTGTTGCTTCTGAGTCGGCTTTTAGCACGGGAGGGAGAGTTCTTGATGCTTTTAGATCATCTCTAACCCCAAGAATGGCACAAGCCCTTATTTGTGCCCAAGACTGGTTGCGGAGTAAATCGAGAATAGTTTCGGAAGAGGAAGACTTGGATCTGTTGGACGATCTCGAGAAAGGTATAATCTTGTAACATTAATTTCTTTTATTTCATTTAACATTTTAAACATGAATTGACTCTGCTCTTCTACTGTTTGTAGAATTTGACAAAGTGCACATGGATTCTGCCATTCTAGAATGAATGGCTTGAAGGTTTAGTCTTTGGTGTTATGGTAGTAGGTAAAGTAATCCCACTCATTTTTAACTAACTTTATCATGTTGGAATTAATTAGGCATTGGTAGCATATTATTTTTTTTTCTTATAATTGCTGAATTGTTTTTTTTTTCTTAATTGCTGGATTGTTCTATTCTAATATTTATATGGATTGATTTTTTCTTAATTACTATACTGTATTTTTCTTAGTTGCTGGATTATATTTTTCGTAATTGTTGGATTGTATTTTGCTGGATTGTTGGATTATATTTTGCTGGGTTATATTTTTCTTCATTGCTGGATTGTATTTTGCTGGATTGTTGGATTGTTTTTTTTATATATATAATTGCTGAAGTGCTTTTTTCTTAGTTGTTAGATTGATTTTTTCTTAATTACTGAACTGTTTTTTTCTTATAATTGCTAGATTTTTTTTTTCTTAATTGCTGGAGTGGTTTTTTCTTAATTGTTGTATTGTTTTATTTTTATAATTGTTGGATTGCTAGATTCATATGGGCAACATATTAATTTTTTCTTATAATTGTTGGATTACTTTTTTTTTTACAATTGCTGGATTCATGTCTTTGCTTATGTTAACCTCATAATTTGTTTTCTTCTTTGTCCATCAAATAGATTCTTGTATATATACGGTGGAGGTGTTTTTGGGATCTTTTTGTTCATATCAGTATATCACACCCATATTGCAGCTGTAAAGAGTCAACGCAATGAAGCTTATTGACTTTTTTGGACAGCTTCATTCACTTGGAGATTTGCAGTCTTTTGCACAGCTCTAACTTGCTCAAGTTGCTGCTTTGTTTGGACAGCCTCACATTTACGTATGCCTTTGCTTACATTACAGAAAAATGCACAAATGACCAATTGCACAGTGGAAGTTGCATCTCATTTCCTTTTTGTTAATATCCTGACAGTGGATGCATATATTTTAATTGTTATTTGATAGATAGTGTAATTAGGTTGGTGTAGTCATCCATCACTTTAGATTGTTGATGAGTAGAAAACTATGGTTGCAAGTTCTGTAATTTTTTGTTATTACTTTGTTTGGTTAATGTAATCTTCAATCTTGGATGATGGAATGAATGTAATATTGTGTTTTGGATTTCTAGTATTTTGCATGGTATATTAGAATTATTTATTAATGAATTTTGATTTTTTTGAATTTAAAATTTACACCAGGTATGTTTTTTTTTTTTATCTATATTGATATTTTATGTTATTATGTAAAAAATG